TACAAGTATCTACATGTGACCTCCTCCCTGGGGGACGGACAACAGAAAAGTGGGCAAAGGGAGACTTGGACAGGGCAAGATATGACAATATAACAATTTATAAATTATCAAGGGTTCAAGAGGAAGGGGGGAGCAGGGTGGGAGGGGGAAAAATGAGGACCTGATACCAGGGGCTTAAGTGGAGAGGAAACGTTTTGAGAATGAGGGGGGCAATGAATGTACAGATGTGCTTTACACAATTGATGTATGTATGGATTGTGATGAGTCATATGAGCCCCTAATACAAGGATTAGAAAAGAAACTCGAGTCTCAGAAACCCCTCGGGAAGTTCTATAGGGTCACTGTGATTCAGAATCGACTCAGTGGCACTGAGTTTTGTTTGTATTTTTCTCTCTCCACTTACAAACATGTAATCTTTGTTGTTATAACTCGTTTTATCAAATCCTAGTAATTTTGTAGGATATGTATGTATGTGTGTGTGTGTGTGTGTGTGTGTGTATATATATATATATATATGACAATCCTACACAATCAAAAATGAATTCATCTACAACTAAATTTTCTGGTGTAAATGAAGAGGTCAAATAGTCATTCATTAAAATAGCATTTCTGAGCAACTCTCCAACAAAGAGTAACAGCCATTCATTTATTGGTAGATGAGTACTAATTCTTTTAAAATGTTATTTATGTTTCAATGAAACGCCAACATCTTTACCTTATATAAAACTTGATAAAACTGACAAGAGTCAACAAAGGGTAGAAATATTCATTCTATAGTAAGTAAGTAGAAGGAACCCTGGTAACATAGTGGGTTGCAAATTGGCTTGCTAACCACAAGTTTGGCAGTTCAAGACCACCAGCTGCTCCGAGAGTAAGATGAAGCTTTCTATTCCTGATTTTAATCTCAGAAACCCTCAGGGGCAGTTCTACCCTGTCCTGTAGGGCTGCTATGAGTCAGAGTCAACTCAATGGTAGTGAGTTGAGTTTTGAGTAGTAAGTTCATATGAATAAAATTGCAGACTCCATATTCTCTTGAAGATAAACAGAACACTATCCCATGAAGTCATCTTTAACCTAACAACAGTTTAGTTCAAGTAATAAAGAATGCTTCCCTTGAGCACTATACTCTTTGAAGGGATCAACCATACAAGATCCAATGGCCAACAGTAATGCTAAAGAACAGATGAGACCTTTAAGAGACAGAGTCTCTAACGTAATGGTCACAAGGCAATATATAAATAGGATGATAACACAATGTGAATACTGTAACCACCATTCAACTGTTCATGTTGAATGTTTGTTTTATTGTGAATTTTTTTAACTAGAGAAAACATTCACAGTCCTCTTAGAAACTATTTGTCTAATTTTACAAGCACCAAATTTTTACAAAGCTAATAATATGAGCAAGCTTCAAAAATTTTTGGAAAAGTTAATTAAAAGAGAATACACCTTAGGATTTTCACTCAAGTCACAGTGGGAAAAAAAAGATAATGGATTTTCCCACAAGAGTTTAGAAGCCCCTTGTATATAAAAATTAAATACTGTAAGAGTGCTAAGACAATTCAGTGGGGTAAAGAACAAGGGGTTTTTTGTTTGTTTTTGTGCTGGAACAACTGGGCTACATGCAAATGAATGACGCTGGGTCCTTACCTCACACCATTTATGAGCATTAACTCATAATGCATCATAGGCATAACTATAAAAGCTACAATGATAAAACTTTTAAAGGAAACATAGGAACAAATCTCTATGACCTTTCTTGTTTTTTCTTCCTACCCAAAGCACGAGACAAAAAAAAAAAAA